TGGGCCAAAGTTCTGATTTGATCACTAACATGTCATTTTAAATGAGCCATTTGGATTCTCTGAACCTTAGTTTTTCCCACTTCTAAAATGATGCCTAAGGCCTCGTGCCATCCGACTCTGTGAATTTTTTTCCTCCCCCTGAGCCCCTTCAGAGGAAAAGGGAGCCTGGAGGAGGGTATGACTGGATGAAAGGCTTGTCCCTGCCCAGAGCACTGCAGGTGGCAGGACACTGCTGCAGGGTGGTCCAGAGGGTCTGCCCTCCCTCCTCCCTTATGAGCTGTGAAAACACCAGGTGGGCGCTGCCAGCCTGGGAGCCACAGGGGCAGGACATGCCTCAGGCCAAATATAAACTCCTGGCTGAGCTGACTTATGCTCCCCAAGTGGTTCAGGGCTGCACTTTCCCAAAAACATTTCACGACAGTGTCCATCAGAGGAGCCCTAGTCAGTAGTCCTGGGAGAAAGCAGTTTCTTTGTGAGCCGGCCTCTCTGGGTCCCCAGACCCCATGTAGTCTCAGGGGTCAGGAGAACCCTCTGGAGGAGCAGGCAGAGTCCTAGCCCCCCGCTCATCACCCCACAGGAGTCTGCACCCACCCTGTGCCTAGAAATCGGATCTGCCACCTTCTCAGATGATCATCCATCCTGGATATCACCATCATGGGGCACCACAAGCCTACGACGACCTGTTCAGCTTTACAGCGGGCTCTGAGAGCTGGAGGGAGCAGCAGAGGGAAGGTCTCAAATTGTTTCTGGCATTCAGTGCAGGGTGGGAAGGTCAGAGCTTCCTCCCCTAGACAAACAGCCCCCAATGTGTCTTCCAGGCGAGGGCCTCTGTTAAGCTGTTGAGCAGACCGGGCTCTGAAGGACAGCGGCCACCCAGTTAGAGGGCAGGGAAACTTCTGCAGATGCAGCCCCCTGGCAGCCTGGAGCTCTCCAGAAATTGGCAACCATGGAGGGGGTGCAGGGGAGGTGACCAGGGCATCGTTAGCAAAATAGTCTTGAGTTCCTATTGCCCAATAAATCTCTCCTGATGGCTTTCCTTGGGCGATAAGCATTGGTGAGGGGCCGAAGGAGGTTTAGTTATCATCTGCTGCTGAAGTTTCCCAAGCCCTGAGCTCCTTGGCCTCGCAGAGAGGCCTGCAGGGAAAGCTGGCATGCACAGCTGGGGTGGGGGGAGTCAGACCTTTTTAAAGGGTCTTGGGATGGAGGAAGAGAGGCCCGTTGGCAGGGATGGGATATAAAGCCTGAAGGCGATTTGGGGTGAGATGAAGGACACAGGAGCATCCAAGGCCTGGAGTCCCTCGAAGAAGAAATGGAGCCCATCTCATAAGCCTGAAGTGGCCTTCCCCATCCCCTCGGTGTCCTCCTCTCTCCTCACTAAACTGCTCACCAGCCCAAACTGTCACATTGGGCTAATATATCAAGGTGCTGGCAGAGCTGTGTTCCTTCCTAAGGCTCTAGGAGAGAATCCGTTTCTTTTCTTTCCCTGCTTCTAGAGGCTGCCACGTTCATTGGCTTGTGGCCTCCTTCCATTCTCAAAGCCAGCATGGCCGGTGGGGTCCTTCTCATGTCTCATCACTCTGTGCTTCAGGGTCACATCCCTTCTCTGACTCTCCTCCCTCCTCCTCCTACTTATCAGGACCCTTGTGACAATACCAGGCTCACCTGGATGATCCAGAATCATCTTCCCATCTCAAGGCCAGCTGACTAAGGCCTTTAATTCCACCTGTGACCTTAACTTTTCCTTGCCATCTGCAGAGCATATTCACAGAATCCGGGGATTAGGAGGTGGCTATGGGTGGGGGGGCCATTATTCTGCCTGCCACAGCCTCTTTGTGACTTCCTGATTGCTCTTGCACATTTTCGCCTAGTGTAAGCTGCATAAACATAGCAAGGGGAGGAGGACAAACCTGCCACTGTGATTTTCCTTGGGACTCCTTGGCCCCTTATGGATAATTCTGCCAGCCAGTGAGATGTCTCATAGTAACTGAAGCTGGACATTCAGCCAGCCAACATTTATTAAGCACCTTCTGTGTGCCAAGAACTATGCGAGGCATTAGGGATGGTACAAATATGAGGAGGACACAGTCCCTCCTCAGGGAGCTCACAGTGTAATAAAGGAGGTGACCCACCCACATAGCCCAAATACAAAGCACAAAGGGAGGAGATGTGCAGCCAGGCGAGGCAAAGCGTTCTGGGCTGTGTTCACGGTCTGCAGGGAGATCTGAGGCCAAGGAGGTCATGATGGGGGAGGGGCGCCCAGGCTCAGCTCCAGCTCTACATTTTTAATCTTTTAAAATTATAAATGAGTACAAAGAAATTCACGTGTTTCCCTCTCCTCCTTTCCTTCTCCCAATCTGCTGTCTCCATCTCAGAGGTAACTCCTCTATTGAAAAATATATATATGTATATTCTTCCACATATATTCTATGTTAAAGTGTTCAAATGTAAAATATTATATAGATAACTTGTAGATTCTTTTTTTTCCCTACACAATGGGTTCATTCTATAACACATTTTGCAACTTAAGCCAGTCTCTGATGAAGTTGAAGGTATGTCCCCAAGACAGTACATTGTGTATTTCTGGGGCAAGTTTCTAAACATGGAATAGTTGTGACAAAGGATATGGGGGACCCTGGAGGTATTATTTTTGCAATTTCCTATGAATTTGTAACTACTTCAAAAGAAAACATTTAAAAGTTTTGTTTATTTTTGATGTGAAGAGACCTAGGAAAGATGAGAGAAGAAACCACCCTGCCAAAGAACTTCCCATTGCACAGGGTGGTTTTTGGCGGTTGTTTTACATACAATAACCTATTAACCTTCCCTCCTCCCCAGACAGACAAGGTATTATCCTTTTGAATGAGGTTTAATGGAAGACGTCTTACACCAGGACGGACACAAAAGTTGCATAAAAATATCTCAAAAGAACATGAGCATACACTTTTTCCAGATTACCAATGAACATTCAACCCATTCGCTTTATTCTGTGGGATCTAGCTATCAATCTATATCATTGTTTCTATGTCGTTGGTGGGAGGTAAGTTTCACACAGCACGTGCCTTTGCCCCTACAGACTTCGACGTTTGTGTCCCAAGCATATTCTCACACACAATCACGGTGCAAAGTTTAACCAGTGATTTAACACTGACTCATTGTCCCTGTTCCACTTTTGTCAGCTGTCCCAGTAACGTCTGGTACAGACCCCAGCCAGGTCCCGCACCTAGTGGTCATGCCTCTGAGAGCCTCAGGTTTAGTGGCTCCGACTGTGCCACCCACCTCTCCTCATCCCGGGCGCCCAGAAGTCTCAACTGTAAGCTGCGGTGGTGGTGGCTGGCCCGCTTCTCTGTGAGCAAAGGCTCTCCGACAGTCCTTAAGAGCTAAATGGAGTATTTCTCTTCGGCATCATTATTCCAGAGAAGCCCTCGACTCCTACCATGGGTGGGTTGGGGCACAGGAGATCCTCTGCGGTTTCCCCTCCCGGCCCGGGAAAACGCTTATAGCGCAGGGAGGCGAGCCAGAGCAGAAGGGGGAATCGGAGAAGGAATCCTCCGGAGGAGAGCGGCGCGGACAGTGCCAAGGACGCGCCTTGGCCGCCGGGTCACCTGGAGCGCGGGGCGGCCAATCCGCGGCGCGGGCCGGGTCGCCGCGGCCAATGGGAAGGCGGCGCGGCGCGCTCCCCCGGGGCTATAAGCGGCGCCGGGCGGCGGAAAGTGAAAGTGGTGCGGACGCGACCGGCACAGCCGCCGAGATGCTCAGGGCCCCCGAGCCGCGGCCCGGGAAGGCGGAGGCGGAGGCGGACGGCAGCAGCCCCGGGGCCGCGCCGCCGCCCCAGTCCAAGCCGCTCACCTCCTTCCTCATCCAGGACATCCTGCGGGACCCGCGGCCCCCGCGCCAGCCGGATCCCAGGCGCGACCCAGAGCCGAAGTCCGGGGAAGGAGGAGGCCGCGCAGGGACGCCAAGGAACGAGCCGAGCTCCGGGCCCCGCGCCGAGCCCGGGGAGGCCGACATGCCGGCCGAGACCGAGCCAGGTGAGCCGGGGAGGCCGGGTAGGGCTGGGTCCCGCAGGAGGGGCGGATGGGCCCGAGGGTGGCACGGGTCCCAGGCGGGCCTCCCAGAGCCGGCCCGGGATGCAGGGACGCGGAGCCCCGCGGCGATAGGCAGAGGGACCTCCCCGGCCCCGCAGCCACTGGAGCGCCTCGGGGATTCACCAGAGCCCAGGCGTCAGGGTGGCGCAGGATGTGACATCGGCGTGACCCGCCCGGCTCCGTGCGCTCTGCTCCGCGGGGCTCCCGACCCGGCGCGCAGCCAGGGCGCTCACTCCGCCGAGATGAAAATCCCGACCCTGCGCCACCCTCCATCCGCACAAGCCCCTGTCACCTGTCACCGGTCGCCTGGACTGATAATAAATAGCTCATTAACATTAACAAATTAGTTTGACCAGCAAACACTCTCTTTGCTCCAATCCCATGGGCAGTAAAACAGTGAATCTGGGTGTTCCCTTCGGTGTTGGAGAGATACGACACCGCAGGAACATTTAGGGTAGACTTATTTTCTTTCCTGTCACTTCTTACGCGGCAACCTAATGCCTCGTTTAGACAAAGGGGGATTAAAGCCCGGGCATGAACTTGGCTTTGCCTCTCCCCCATGGCACAAGCCGCCTCTTGCCTACCGGCATGCTAACACCGGATGGCTTTGCCAGGTCCCTTGTTCCTTGGTGTCTTCCCTGCCGCCCTTCTGCCCCTCTCCTCAGCACACACATCTACGATTTCCATTTAATTCTACCGGGTAATATGGTAGAAAGCTCAACCACTGAACGCTTCTAACTTTGGGTTCTTGCTGGTTATTAGAAAAACGAATACATCATATACACATTTACTCCTAGCTCACTCCAGAGAGTCCCTTAGTCATGTGAAAAAAGTGAAATGTATCCAAGATGACAGTGGGCTGTTTGTTCACTCACTAAAGAGATAACGGTGGACTGAATTCTGTTCTCTTACCCACTAACATGTAACTTTTTTCTTCCCATCCCTCCTTCTCCCCTCTCCTTTCCAGATAGGCACTTTGGGACTTATCTGTTGGACTGTGAAGACACTCCAGGCGCCTTACCAAGCCTTCCCCAGACCCCCAAGCAGCCGCAGAAGCGCTCCCGAGCCGCCTTCTCCCACACTCAGGTCATCGAGTTAGAGAGGAAGTTCAGCCATCAGAAGTACCTGTCAGCCCCCGAAAGGGCTCACCTGGCCAAGAACCTCAAGCTCACTGAGACCCAAGTGAAAATATGGTTCCAAAACAGACGCTATAAGACGAAGCGAAAGCAGCTCACCTCGGACCTGGGAGACTTGGAGCAGCGCTCCTCCTTGCCGGCCCTGAAAGAGGAGGGCTTCTCCCGAGCCTCCCTGGTCTCTGTGTATAACAGCTACCCCTATTACCCCTACCTTTACTGCGTGGGCAGCTGGAGCCCAGCTTTTTGGTAATGCCAGCTCAGACGACAACCACGTATGATCAAAAATTGCCTTGTCCAGGGAGGTCTCTCTGGAAAGCAAAAGGGGCCGAAGTCAGGGAGCAATAGGGAGCCAGAGGTGTGCAGACCAAAGCCATTGGAGGTTTGCGTGGAAATCCCAGTGTCCTCATGGTGGGCCAATGACAGATCTGGGACGGTGAATGTTTTCGTATCTAAATAGTTCCCCCAATGCATACTGTAGGTCATTTTTGCTTTCAGCTACCTGTTTGAAGGGAGAGAAAATCAAGTGCTGTCTCCAGCACTCTGTATGATTTTGGATGAGTGGTCCAACGGCTCCTGAGGATCTGTTTCTGCAGATCCACCCTCTTGGGGACCTGAGCAGCAACTCTGAGAGGGCAAACCTAGAGGAAGAAAGGACAGCCAAGACTCGGATGTCACCTGCTGAGTTAAACTTAAGTTTTTATTGGCCTTGGAATATGGCCAAGGTTCTCTCTGTCCCTGTAAAAGAGGGGAAACAGAGGGTCTCAAAAAGGAAGCCCTCATGCTCAGCACAGATTGGCACGGGAGATAGAGCAGGGTGGGAAGAGATGAAAATATCAGCTTCCTATTATTCCTTTTAAAACAGTATGCCAATTTAAGTATTCACGGGGTGGCCCGAATAGAACAAGATGCACTCACTGTGGTTTTAAGACAAGCTGTATAAACAGAACTCTACTGCAATGGGTGGGGCCATGCCAGAAGAATCTCTGCACATCCAAGGCAGGGGCCTAACTAGAGTCTCCACACTGTTCCTGGGGCCACTGCAATTTTAATTAGCAAAAGGTGAAATGGCCTCTTCTGAACTGTTGTGTCCTAGGCTGGAGAATTTAGAATCAAAAGTTTCCTGGAGTTTTCAGTCTATAATTCATACTATATCTTTTTTTTTTATTTCAGGATATTATGGGGGTACAAACATTTGACAAATGACATAGATCTTCCTTCCCTCCTTTTTTTTTATTTATTTATTATTTTTTCCTACAGCAATCACCCACTAAAGGGCTTCATTTCAGTCCAGACTTTTAGTCTGGCTACACCTAACGTTCACCTTCCTTATTTAGCCTGAGATCTGGTCTTTCCTTCCCCCCTCCTCCAAAGCTTTATCTGTCCTAGGTTAAAAAAGAAAAAAAAAGTAGGGGGCAGATTCTGAATTGGCTAAAAGACACACATTTTTCAAACTAGCAACTCTTATTTCTTTCCTTTAAAAATATACAGCATTAAATCTCAAATCCTATTTAAAGACCTGACAGCTCCAGAAGGTCACTGCTGCTTTTATAGGACTTTCTGGTGGCTCTGTTGTTACATTCAAAGTCTGGCAACCCTTGGGAATCTTTGCAGGCAGGCAGAGGAGGTAAGAGGTGTTGGATTTTCACATAGAAGGGAGAACAGTGCAAAATGAAGGGCTGGTGTCATTGAGCTGTCTCTAGTGGAAGTAGAGGGCTTGGGGCAGGGCAGGGAAGAAAAGGCAGCCCAGGCCTTAGGGAGCCCAGTCCCCTGACCAAGTAAAGGGGCTGACAGCACTTTGCAGGAAGAGGCTCATGAAAACAAGACCATTTTCAAAACACAACATTACCGTGGCTTCCATCAGAAAATAAAGCAAGAAACTATCTAAATGTTTCAGGAACTGGGTTTAATGCCTATCATGGGTCCCCAATCAGAATGAGCAGAGAGCAAAGGAGACATCTGGCTGTCCTTCCAGTCCATCCTATTATCTCAGGTGACCTGGTAGCAGGGAAACAACAGCAACAAAGAAATTACTAACGAGATAGCCCGAGGCCTGGAAGTCTCTTGATCCCATTGCTTAATTCTGTTTAGTGAGAAACTTTCCAATTTTCTCCTACTAAAAGGGCCAATTTACTGTTGGTGGCAAAACTGCCAAAGTACGTAGATAGAAAGTTGACCATTTTCACCCCATTTTTCTATGGTTTGGGCTCTGTGTTGACGTATTGTTCAATGCCACATGCTGCTGACACCCACTGCAGCACCAGATAGCACAAAAGGCAGACAGTCTCCTAAATTGCTCTCTTCTCCTTTTACACATCTCTTAAAATAAATGTTTAGTGCTCGGTCTCAGTACTTTTTCCTCTCTCCACCTCTGAATTTAATTCTTTCAGTCTGCAATTCTGTAAGGACTAAACATTTTACTGTGATGTAGATTGTGTTGCAAAAAAAAAAAAAAAGGTCTTTGTTTAAAATTATTCGGTTTGTGAATACATCTTGCTTTTCCCCATTGGAATAGTCATTGACCTATATCTGAACTATAGCAAACTTATATCTGAACCTGTATCAAAAACCATTTGAAGAACTAGTCTGCCAGTATCTGACAAGTGAACCAGACAGTGCGCTGGACCATTTCACCCAGACAGCCTGTTTCTGTCCTGTCTGATAAATTAATCTGGGTTCTCGACATGCATAACCAACCCTGCTTGGATCTGTACATAAAAGCCTGTGACTTGAAGTTTAGTAAAATGCCCCCACCAAACTTTATTTTTCTATGTATTTTTTGCAACATATAAGTGTTTTTAAAATAAAATATCTATGTCTTTATCAGACCTGAGTGTGATGTTCAGTTTCTTACAAATGCATGTTAATTAACTTACATATTTCTGGTTACCATGTCTCTCGTCCTTAATCCACCTGAAAACTTATGATGATCAAATGATCAAAAGCAGTAGTTCTGCCAGTAGCCAGTGATGGTCACTCTTTTATAAATGCAGGGTCCTCCATTCCTGGTAAAATGCGGGGAAGGGAAAAGACTTTTCTTCTGTCTTCAGTTTGATAATCACCTACTCCATCCCAGGGATACCTTTCTTTCTTTCTTTCTTTCTTTCTTTCTTTCTTTCTTTCTTTCTTATCTTTTTCTTTTCTTTCCTTTCTTTCTCTCTTTTTTTTTTTCCTTTCTGTAGATACAGGGTCTTGCTCTGTCACCCAGACTGGAGTGCTGTGGCACGATCATAGCTCACTGCAACCTGGAACTCCTGTGCTCAAGCAATCCTCCCACCTCAGCCTCCTGAGTAGCTGGGACTACAGGCGTGCACCAACACGCCCAGCTAATTTTATTTATTTTGGGAGTGGGGTAGAGACGGTGTCTCACTGCGTTACTCAGAGTAGTCTCAAACTCCTGGCCTCAGCGATCCTCCTGCCTCAGCCTCCCAAAGTGCTGGAATTACAGATGTCAACTAGCGCAACTGGTTTTGCTCATTACTTGAAGGGAACACAGAGACCACAGCAATACTCCTTTAAAAATTCCTCTTTCATGTCCCACTAGTCCCTCACAGTACAACTCCCCTGGGTCCCCTGGCTCCTGCATCTCCCCCAAAATGTCACCTTCATCCAGAACAATAGACCTTTGCAAGTGACATCTTTGAATTGAAATCAGAAGTACGGAAAATAGGTTTTATTAATGTGTTAAAATAAAATATATAAACAACACATCCTTCATCCCCCTGCACTTAAACCTTTATTAAATCCCACAGGCAGAGTGTCTTATGCACCTGATTACTGAGAGAATTGATGGTTTTCTTCCCCCCTCCTTCAAGGAAATAGAAGCTTAAAGAGTAAGGTGCTTACTCTAGATAAAACATATCATAATTTCAAAGTTTGCTCTAATCCTTTAAGCACACTGTACACACAGGTGGGGCTTCTCGTAGCATGCTCACATCATGAGATTTAACTCTTTGCACAAATCTGCAGCCACCCTCCCCTCCCCTGGAAAGCCATCAGCTCTCAAATTACAAAGGCTCTTGCAGTCAATTAACAGATGTAGATTTTTTTGGTAAACTGTTTAAAAGTAACTAATCCAGGAAATTAAATAAAAATCTCTCATCTCTTAAGAAAGTCATCCTCTCTTTGTCCCTTTTCCAACTTTCCTTCAATATCTCTACTAATCTCACACCCATCTTCTTCCAGCAGCCCCCCTTAGCATGCCACATGTTAGTGATATGTGGAATTCCTCTTCAATCTTCTCTCCAGTTACTCCCCGTGTAAGTTTCTAGAGCCACCGTAGCTTTGTCCTTGGTGGTCCCACCGGTCCTCCCCAGGCTGCCTTGGGAAGATCGTAGCTGCCAGGAGGGGAAATGAATGTCAGAGACTTACACCTAACAAAAATGTTTTCCTTCTAACCACAAAGCAAATTGCTTTTCTAGGGTGATGTTAGTATCATGCATCTCCAAGCTGACCTCAAAGGGAGCGGTGGCCATGAAGACAAAGTCACCTAGGTTAGGTGTCGTGGAAACAGTCCCTGTCATGGTGAATTATACGAGTTATACACGAAGCTTTCTACACTGCGCTCAGGAGATACACATGGAAGGCAGTGAGGGAGGGAGGGTGGAGGACAGGGAGAAGCTGATCCACACCACAGCTGCAACTGAGGCCTTGCCCAATACTTCAAGAGGCTCCAAAGCCATAGTGTCCAAAATTGAGGAAAGTATGCTGGGCATTTGTATCCCAGCGTCGGCTGCCTCCAGGAAGTAGAAGTAACCTTGGGCAATGCAGTCCCTTTCCGTGTAAGGCGATGGCCATCGAGGGACCTGGCTCCAAGTCGGTGCACCAATATTCCCAGCAGCTGGTGGTGGATGCATCAGCTCTGCATAGGGGGACTCAATGGAGCACAGGGAATCCACTGTAAGACAAAGAATCCTTTCCCTGGTCCTTCTCAGGGCCACGGGCACCAATATTTTTCACAATGAGGGAATGAATCTATGTCGAGAGGGTCAGGCTAGGCGTGGAGCTCCAAGTTCTGCACTCAGACATCCAGACTCTGCTCCTCCCATGGCCATGATGAACGTGTCACCAGGGCATGTTTTTCAAAGCCAAGAGTTATTTACTGCTCAAGAGAAAGAGCAAGAACGATAGCCCTGGGACATGAAGAGCTCCTAGTTTAGCCTAGACTTGGCCTCCATGCAGACTTTCCCAGACAGACTAACCCAAGAAAAGGGTTATCTAAAGTCTGCAAGGGACAGGAGAAAAATCCCAGTTTCCCTAGAATGTTCTCCCTTCATCTCTGCAAAGGCTTCATATACAGCCTTATTTTCTGAGCTTGCTCTGGGTCCGCTACGGGGTTTAGGGTAGATTTAGGGTAGAGATTTAGGACAAACCCCCTGCATGGCCTTTTATCCCTGGGAAATTTCCATCTGTTTTCAGCCAGTTCAGTCCTGGGGGGAGCC